GTGTAGATGTTTGATAATTTCAAAGATAAAGTTTTGAGCTCGTGTGTGATTTACAGAACAGACATTTATTTAATAATCTTCCTTTTATCATCAAGATATGTTTCACAGCTTAAACATAAATAATAAAGGAATTTACAACATTTTATCATACATATGGTTTATAAACAACAATGCTAAATACATAGGATAGAGAACGACCCTTGAAGAGCCACTCACATAAGATTAGGGCACATCACTATCAATGCAGTAGCGACAAACAGTAGAACTGAATACTGCTTCTTCACTTATTTGGGAGGGAAGTTTTGACCCTATTCAAATTGGAATAACTTGAAAGAATTTGTCACGAATCTAATTTATCCTGAAAACAAGCATTTTTTAATAGTGAATAATATAAGATAAATTTATAATTTCAGTGGGAATTGAGTATATTTTGAGACACTTCTCATTGTCTATTATTTGTCTCTGTAACTTGCATAATACGCACAGCTAAAATATTGTTTACAGAGGGGTGTACATTTTGTAGGGCCACTTCCCAAATAATTTAGTTTGAATTAAATATCAGGAAACAAATCAAAAATCATGTAAAAATTCATACACTCCAATTTTCATGAAGAAACAAATTCGCACAGATATCAAATATTCAATACAAGAAAAGGAGACATAATTATTTCACACATAACAGCGCAGCGGCAAAATTAATTAGAAAAGCAGAAAAAATCACTTTCGCTTCCTGGTCTTCCAAGTTTTACAGCAAAACCTATCTTCAGAACATACAACAACATACACTTCTGCAAAATGGGAAATGGTTGTAACCGATGCATTTTACTATAACTTAGAAAGTCTTTTTCCCATCGGGTCGTTTCGGTGATACGACAAAGAAAAGTACTTCTGCTACTCTTCTTTCGACAACTGTGAAATGGAACTTTGCCCTTTCTTGGGTGTGTGATTTAAGTCTTTATTAATCCGTCCCGTGTAGGAGGGCAAGAGACACCAGGAACAATTGAACAGGCGATATCACGAATATATCGAACATCAGACAAATTATTCGCTGACGCTTTAAATCACACACAATGCTTAAAGCATTTCATATCATAAGCGTAAGTCAGTATTCTATTATAATATGATCTACAACTATATTTCTCCCCATGCGTTGAATTTCTAAAACGGCTGGGGAAAACTTAAACTTACTGTTTTTGTTTTTAACTCACTTAAGAACAGGTCTACAACATTATATGCATCACCAGACTTGTTCCTTGAAATGTGTTCAGCAGTGGATATTATACTCTGCTGTCCAATGTAACAGTTTTTATTGCCTTCTTTGGCGTAAGTTGTACTTCAATTCGAATCACTTACTAACACTTTACTTGGTACGCTGTTAGTAACATTTGAGCGAAACGAATTTTTCACACAGTCTAGCACGCCCACAGACACTTCATTTTTACACCAACACTTCATCATTTTTTCACTTTCTATATATTCCTTATGTAAGAGCTAATATTTGGCTTGCGGTCATAAATTTCATACAATAATTAACTCTCCACATAAACATAATTGACTCGCCGAGTCATCTCTTACGAAATACGAAGTCAGCAATGGCACTTCCTCTATTTCAGAATCAACTGTTTTTGAAGAAAGGATGCAGAAGAAAAACAGTTCAATCATTTTCGTTCTCTAGTATAAAATCAAACAAATGATTCTAATTACACAATAATACTTGTTTTAGATCATTAGCAATCAACACGTTAAAGAGTATTTTTGAATTATATGGAGAGAAATGCCAAAGCAACACCAAAATAAAACCAAACATCAGCTGGTCATGTTACAGTACAACAATGAGCGGTGCAAATACAATATTTCTTTGCTGTCTTCGTCTCACTGCATCATTCAGCAAATATATAATACATATTTCTGTAGCTAGGCGTACAGTCAGAGAACAAGCACGAAAGATTCGTCTACAAACTACGGAAACCAGCAGTCAGTGGGAGTAGTCTACTAGTAGGTTGTCGGTCTTGAGAGCGTCCGGCGGTGGTGTCCCGGGGGCCACTGGCACTCGAGGGGCGGCGTCGCGCGGGGCCCTACGTGAGGGCGGGGCTGTGCGAGGACAGCTCCGACGAGTCCTGCAGGCTGTCGGGCGAGGACACCGGGGACAGCGTGCGACGCAGGCCAGGGGCGCCGTAGGGCGAGAAGCGGTGCTGGGCCAGCCCTGCGGCGGCGGCGGAGGCGGCGGCCAGCTGCGACGGGTAGAGCGGGCGCGGCAGCGCGGGGCTGCCGCCCATTTGCTGCGCGTGGCTCACCGGCACCTGCAGCACAAGGCGGGAATTAGGCATTGGGGAATGCAGGCTTATTCTAACGAATGCGGCGATGGTTAGCGTACCGGACTGTTACACCCAAGTTCGCGGATTCAAACCCGATCCGTGGATTTTTAAGGGCGAAAAAATCCTCCGCACGTCTTCTTTCGGAGGGGAAGTAAAGCCGGCTGTCCCATGTTAGTAGATTTACTTGCATGTAAAAGATCCTCAAGCCTAAATGACACCTCTGAGCTAAATTCAAATCGCCTGTTTTGTCGCCCAAGAAGTTCCTCCTTTTTCTGCTAGTTGATAAAAGAAGCTTAGCGAAATTGGTGTGGTCAGACGGAGGAGCGGACCTGATGGCCCGAGCCTCGCCACGTAATATAAGGCAAATTCAATTCAATTCAGAAAATACATATATTTACTTAGCGAACCCAGTACGTGGAGTCTCCCGGCCAAAAATCTAAACTAGCGAAATTTTTAATTTTGCTTATTCGATCGTAAATGCCCTTTTAGGCATATCAATCTTTCTGATTTTTTTTGTCAATTGTTGTATATCATCTTCAAATATCGGTAACAAAATTCAAAATTTAAATTAATTTAACTATTCATAATAGCATTTTCATAGTAATCCATTCCCTTGACTAGACAGAAGATATGATTTGGGTTAGTGACATTTTATGGAGTGGTATAAAAAATAACCTCGTAAAGAATGCAACAAATGCGAACATTAGAAAAAGTTAGATTGTTGCCGATTATGATATCAGAAAAACTGCAGGCGCGCTTACAACCAACACATGTGCCGCTGCAACATTCGTTACTATCCTGAATCTCAGAAATATGTACTTAAAACAAGATTTTATTGTCCGATTTTTTTAGTTTCAAATATCGAAGTTTACGACCAGAAGTCATTTTTGGACATTGTGTTACACTTTGGAGAGAACTTCTACCCGTAGTAAAAACCCGTTTTAGAAATACCGAAGTTGATTTTCAGAACGACAATCTTTTGCCTTTTACATCAATGAGTTAAAAGTGCAGAACTTCGCACGAGTTCAACTAGCATAGATTAATACAGAAAGTACGCGTTTCTATCGATTATTCAATTTCATTCCATTTCTACAATAAAAATCAATAGTTTCTTAGTTCTTGGTAACATAAACAACGGGTTTGTTATGTAGTGTATTGAAGCACGTTTAATTCACTGCTGAAAATTTTATTTTATTTGTAAGATTCAGTGCTTCGCATTCAAATAATAAATAAAATGCATAAGTCTTCTTTTTAAAATATTTAATATCAATTCATGAGAATAAAACCCTCTTTCTATCACCGCCTAAATTTTCATTGGAGAAATAAATCTTATTTTACTCACTTGCATCATATATGAATATATACTACATTGAAAAAATGTAGCCCAGCAATGCAGTTGCATTATAAACTACACGAGGAAGCGATTTGATACATTCTAAAGCGAGTCAAAAGAGTTGTTGAAAAATTCGAAGAATGCTTCTCTACTGACAAATACGTTTGATGTCTATTTTAATCATTGCAATAAAAATGTATTATTGACCCTAAACGTGTTTTCAGACTTGAACATTGTAAAAGTCGCATTGCAATTGTCCACGGTTTCATGCGACAACCTATTTGGTGCCATACCGACTCTTTTCATTGGTATATATATAATTTAAAGCGCTATTTGCTACGAAATAAGGTTAATTTAAATTGCTTTTTACTACAAACTCGGAATATAGTCGGTTTTATATTGGAATGATTCGAGCACCGAACGTTTAAATATTGGTTAGAGAGTTATTTCATACTTGTACTAAGACTATCAAAAGACTTCGTAAACTGCAATGTAGTAAGCTAACATATCTGTGTTTGGCGGGAAAGGTTACGTTAGTCATTAAGTGCAAATTTTCAACGGCGAAGGTTCTATCATTTTGTGATTTTTAAGTTTTAATTTTTCTCATACGTATTATTTTTCTTACAATTAAACATAAAATTGACAATATTCTAAAGATTAGAAAATTGTGAAAAAAATGCTAGCACTTAAACCTCTCAGTTTAAAACATAGTTTAAAGAAATATTAGTATTATTAAAAATATGATTACGATAGGTGAGAGTACAACATTGCATTTGCTGCTGAGGATGCAAAGTAGGGTCGATTCTTCTCTTCATCTTTAATGATTGACAGAAAATGTATTAAGAATTGAGCATGGAAATTCTGGGCTGACACCTCAAGGGACTGACTGACTGCTCAGAGTTCTGAGCTCTGCTATTGAACGAAACAGACGAATGCGGATGATTTCTCGTACGTATTTCTCTTTGAATGAGCTTTATTTTTCATTAACTATTGTATTCATTTTTTGGAAAATGGTTAGGCGGAAGAGCAGGCTAAATGGCCTGAGCCTCGCCATCAATACATTTATTTATATATTTATTTATTTATTTATATATTTATATATTTATTTATTTATTTATAATTTAATATATTATATATTATATATATAATAATTTATATATTTAATATATATTTTATATATTTATTATATAATATTTATAGATTAATATATTTATAATTATATATTATATATTTTATATATTATATATTATATATTTATATATTTATTATATTTAATATATTTTTATTTATTATTTATTATTTATTATTTATTATTTATTTATTATTTATTTAAATTCCGAGCCGTTCGTACCTGCGCGAGCTGGTGCGGCGGGCCGGCCGCCGCCCTGCGCCCCGCGCGCAGCGCCGAGCTGGAGCGGCGGCGGGCGGCCAAGTGGCTGCGCGTGCAGCAGCGACGGCCACGGCACGCCCACGGGTTCCACAGCGAGCGCCCGCGGCGGCGGCGGCGGCGCTGCGTTGGGCGCGCCCCGCGCGGCGGCCGCCGCCCCGCCCGGCGCGCGGCCCCGCGCCCCGTACAGCGAGCACATGCCCATGAGCGGCGCGTAGGGCCCGCCGCCGCCGCCGCCGCGCGCAGTACAGCTGCGAGCGCGCGCCAGCAGCGCCTTCTCCTCCAGCGTCAGGTTGTTTTGTGCGAGTCCAGTCGAGAGAACGCGGCCGCACGCGCGAGCGCAGGTAGTGCTGCTCCGCTACATCGACTCCATCGTCTCCCTGTGCACGTACGAGCTGCGTCAGGCGTGCAGAAAAGCCCTTCGGCGACGCGGAGGAATGGGCGGGGCATGGGCAGAAGGGACTGGGAGGACCTGTGCCTAGGGAATGCATTTCGCCCTGAGGAAGGTCGCAGAACGACGGCCGACGCGTTGGCGCCTGCAGCGACTCCAGGGCAGCGAAGTAACTACGGACTCCGCCCGCGGAAGCTCTCAGTCTCTGTGAATCGTTGAGAGCGAAGGCCTCCGCGGCCGGAGTCAATACCTGGCTGTCCGACAGTCACCGTCTCCTAGACAAAGATGCTTACGTTACAGCCCCCATGCTCCGACATTTAGCCCTGAAGAAGGTCGAAGCATGACGGCCGAAACGGGGCGGCTGTGCTTAGGTCGCGGCGTCTCCCGGGTCGACAAGTAAAAAGGGTTCACTTATACAACAATCGATGAAACCTCGGATGCCCATGCTGGATGGAATATTTTATTCGCTTATTTCATTGCTTTGAGAAAAAAATATTCGTCTTCGTGATATTACGAATTATATTCATGCCAACATTAATAGTTATCTTCATAGAATTTACAATTCTCATATTAATGGCTTCCGCGATCATTCTACATAACACGGAAAGTAAATAATTTGTATTATTTTTATTACAATTATTTTATAATATTTATTATTATTATTATTATTATTATTACAGTTCAATGACATGACACTAATCTATGCGGTGTATGTAAATGAAGCGTCCAAGCATAAGTACTCAATGCGTCTCGACTCTAATAATAAAAACTTGCTTCATTGAAGCCCTGTTGGGGGCAAAAATTCAAAGTCGTTCTTAAATAATGGAATAGTTGTGAACTTGAAGTGGGTTTAAAACAAATATTTTATATGAATAAATTGTCGCTCATTTATATGGTCTGCAGCGTTTTTAATTTGTAAAGATTCATTAACGTAATGCGAATTATCTTTCCTCCGCATCCACAAATTAGCTATTACGGAGAGAGCGGAATACCGAATGGCCGTTAATAGACCTCCACCGCGTCCCATCACATAGACAAAAGAAGTGCTCCTGCGTTCGCTCTCTAAGCGATTACCGAGGAAGAACTGTCGTGAAGCAATAACGAAGTGGCGATTGCCTATGACTTTTCTGGGAACAGACAGCGTTACAAAACCATAAGTGAAATTGACGTCGCTATCTCCATCGAGCCAGACCCGCGTTGCCCGGTTATAGTCGCTTCGGTTCAGTCTTTATTGATCATGCCGATGACTGCGAGTGTCACCTTTTCTAGGAAAAGCGTATCATCAAACATGCACGCTTATTACGACCGCCAACACATCCCATGATGGAATACGCTAGTTACGAGCACAAAACATGAAAACTCATCAACGCGGCAACAAAGAGAAAAGAGGAGGAGGAGAAGAAAGATCCTTAATTGCTTTTGTTGAGAGGACCTTGCGTAGACATGTCAAGGAAGCCTGAAATTGTTCTCGCTTTATTAACTTCAGGGATAACGTTTTCTTCTAGATTTTGTAATTAAATATTTATTATCCTTTACATGTTACATGCTTAAATAAATTGTATAGGCCATTATTAAAATTTTCCGATGAAAAACAAGCTTGAATTTTAAAAATTAGGTGTGTTTAGACTAGAAATAGATGATAAACTCCTAATAAATTGTTCGAAAAAACGAACATTTGATGAAGGCTATTTGAATTGTAAATTTTACGTGACACATTTTTGTTTTCATTAAATATTTTAAGATTTTATTGCAGTTTCGAAAAAAATGAAATTGAAAATAATTTTATCGTGCTTCTTGTTCGACAAAAAACAAATATTACGCTCTTTTAATCGCAATTCCAATCTGATAAATATCTTCTTGGTAGTTATCACGAGATAAGGATTTAATCCTAACTTTCAGGATAAGCAGTCAACTGTTTATGGATCGTGGAGGAATGAAACACATTTTGGTGTACAGAAACAATCGTTGTATTGCCAGGCGTACCAAAACAACTCCCGAAGAACCAAACCATACACTTTTCAAAGACGATTCCGGCACGCTCACCGTTTACAGTAATATTTCATCGCCGCTCCAGGCAATTATAATGAAAAATATCTATTAAGAACACGGTATTGACAGGTGGAGCGCGGGAGGGCCCCCTATCAAAAACACTTAACAGGTCAGGTCAGCGCGCTGCCCGTCCGACGCATTGTCTAAACTGCGGACGTCAGTGCCCGAAGAAAGGGCGGTTAGGCGCCCCCGCCTTTTGTTCCCGACGGGTTAGCGCTGCTGACGACCGGCAGGCGGCGCGGGGGCGGTTCGGGAGGCCCCCCCTGCAATTAGAGGCGCGATGCCCGTGTCGGAGGAAGGAAGTTCCTCGCTCGGGATTCAATTACACTTTCAAATGGATTGGCACCGCGTCTGGAAGTCCGCAGCCCCGCCCACACGCCGTCATTGCGGCCGCGCCCGCTTCTGCGACCCGGCACACGGCGGGTTAACCTCGTGTGAAGAAGGATTGGGGTTTGAATCTGAGGGTTATTTTTGACCTTTAAACTGCACATCTGGTGATCATGGCCACCAAAGCTCTTACACCAACGTAATAGGCTTATCGGAATTGAAATAGGGAAGGTATTATGCCTCCGGGAGTACGGTGTAAATGACGCATTTCCTCCTTTCATATTCTCAACTCTTACAAATAATCACGAAGTACGACGTATATTAAATGAAGTTTTTTAGTATAAATGTCGATATTTACATTAGGTATGTATAAAGAAACTAAAAAGTACTATTTTAAATAGATTAAATATTATCAACAAGTTCTTTTTCAGAGTAATTATTCCTATCCAAGAACGCAAATTCTCAATTCGAAATAAAATATTATTAAAACTTCTTTTTCACTACTGATTTCGAAACTCTTAAGTACTTTATGCATATTTACAATCTAACTTTCAGAAATAAATTGTTTATACAAGATTCGTACTGTACTCCTTGCTTTATAGAGAAGGAGAAAACATGAAATGTGAAATTTGTTTAAAATTGTATTGGAATATTCTATCTTCACAGAACACAGTATATTTGATGATTATTGTTGACAACAATAGTGAAAACATTTCCTTTCAAGATCTATGAAATATTTGATCTTAAGAACGTATCTACACGTGCACATAATGTATAATATTAATAGTAATGAGTAATATAATTGTAACAATGTGTGTAATGAAGTTCTGTAAAAAAAAGTAATGTTTACATGTAAAAGCAAACAATAAAATAGCGTGGAATTCCGAAAATAAAATTTTTTCTTCTCTTCAAATTATTAAATATATCTTCGATCTCAACTCGCCCAAACTCAATATGGTGCGATGTTGGGTCGCTCATGTACTATTTTACCATTTTCACTTTTTCGAAATTACGAGTTAGTATATATTTGTTATATGCTTATCTATCCGCACAGACATTTGGAAGAAACGAGAATGGCAAGTTTCCGAGAATACACACACTGTCACATTTTATTTTAATGTTGCTTATCTGATGTGCACTCAATACACTTTGAATTAGCTCCGTTTCTTATTAGAACGTCCTAGTGTTTCAACGAGCCATCGTAATGACACATTTCTCGGGGACAGGCACGTTCATGTCGAACGACAAGCACCATCGTCGTTCATTTTGTAGCACGCAGCCTAGATAGGTTGTGTCTCTTCCGTTCCGACAATGCTTACGACTCGTCACGCACTGTGTGTGCGCTATGTCCGATCACGCATGCGCTATAATGAGCAGGAAAATGTGACGGAAATTGTCTCTGTTTGACACGAAATATTCCATTTTCTCGTGCAAATGTATGGCTATACTCGCATGATGAACATACTGTTCGTGACGACAAAGTTAGGACATTGGCAGTATTGCTTGCCATTATTAGACTTAAATGTTACTGACAATAATGATCTTAACATGCTGTAGTTGACGCATGAAATACGAGAAAAGTTGTTAGAAATATTAAAGGTTGTAACCAAATATTTGATTTTATGTAAACTTTTCTCGGAAACACAATTTGATGTGAATGATCTCCTTCATGTCCCTCGATGTTTGGGTTAGCAAATTGATGAATTGTTAGATGTGCATATACATACTACCATAATTTACAAATAATTGTCTATATTTTGCTTTCCGTTTCGTCAAACTCCTGTATTTCACAATTTATTACATATGTACGTATCATTTAGTCCTGAAGCAGGCCAAATAAAAGGTCCAATGTTGGCACTGTAACAATAAACAGCTATTGACCTACCCTTGTGAATCCGACAATGGGACTTCAGCTATTTTAATAACCAAAATTTTAAAAAAAATATGATTTAGAGATGTAAAAACTCAAAAACATCCAGAATGATATTAGTTGCACTTGTATACCGATGATCACGGCCGTTTTACTTCATTAATTTTGTTCATCCTTAATGATTATCTTTTCCACCCTACATCACATACAGTTTTTTTGACTGAATAAATCTAAATCTAAATCGTGGCTATCCTATCATCCTTCATACAGTAGAAAGACAAACAACCATTGCGATCTCCTGCCCAAAATAGAAGGTTAAAAAAGCGTAATCGTCTCTCCTGTCTTCCTTTCTAGTACAGCACTCTACATCATCACACATGCATCTGCCAACGGTTGTTAACAACACTCGCGTATCTGCACGAAAGGGCGCCAGTTGCTTCTTCAGAAACAAGAATGCAAGCGGGCGCTGCAGACGATGGTATCGTGCATTGCACGGGCCGCTCGCCTCACGCCTTGCGAGCCGTAGCCGAGACGAAGGCGCCTCGATACGTGACGTGTTGTTTAGTTTGATTTTTATATCATTTAAATGTAGCATCGTTTACATCTGATTTCAG